TTTTACGAAACCCGTGTCAGAAAGCCGTGCTTGTTTCCATATATGGACTCACGGATTCTGTAAACCCGTGTCTGAAACCCGTGTCCTTTTCCATATATGGAGACACGGTTTTTTTTAAACCCGTATCAAAAAAGCCGTGCCTTTTACCATATAAGGAGTCACGGGATCTGTGCATTCGTCTAGATCTAGGTCATGACCTTTATAGAATGTCCTGATGTAACTGTGAATGCCAAAATAGTGACTGAAACCAAACTAACTTCACATTGCTTTACATTTATGCTAAGTTTTAGAATTTCTAAATCTTATATGAATGTGTACATTTACTTTCTGTTAAAGATTAACTTTATCAGTTAAAGTTCATGCTAGATTTTAATTAAGATTTTAATGATAATGTACAATATTCAATTCAATTGTTATTTAATCTAGGAGCTATAAGTTTGCACAATCTGAGAAAGAATTTAGTATAAATAAAACTTTCACTCTATAGCACAGTGATGTCAAATTAGTGAAATTCCAACTAAAGTCATTCAAATAAGCCTAAACTATTTCATCATGTTCATTGTCAACATTGCAATACAGGAAGATCATGAAAATTGAAAAAATGACTAATTTATAGATTACACTTTCTGCATTTAGTTAAAAAGTGAAGAAATTATCTCTGACTGTCATAAATACAATTCCAACTGACATCTATTGGTTAAATATCCTTTAAATAGAGCAAAAAAACACACTGACTTAGCTCATGACCAAGAATCCCTCCAATTTAATTTTCAAATAAAGGAAGTTATGATTGAGCATGCTCAGTAAAAAGCCGTGAGATATAAAAAAAATAGTTTGAAGCAAAACCCGCCTCAGTTAAAAACCGTCTCCCTGGGACACGGAGTCCGTGTCTCCACACGGGTTTCTGTGAGTGAGGATTCCTCACTTTCAGACACGGAAGCCGTGTCCGTGTCTTGGACATGCAGAACCTGTGCAGCTTTTTAAAAACCCGTACGGATTCCGTGTCTTAGCCGTGCCCAAGCCGTGCCTATTCCGCCTCGAACTTTCATACGGGATAATGTTGAATATGTAAGGGTCGAGACAGACTTGTCTCACAGCCGGTATCGTTGGCTGTCCCTGTGAGAAGGAAGTGCCCCGCACATCACATTGAACAATAGAAAACGTACCACCAAAACTGCTGGCCAATAAAACTACCGTATATGCTCACCTATAAGTCGGTTTTTTGGGAGTCAATCTCTGGTCAAAAACTCTGTGTCCGACTTATAGGCGAGCTATACAAAGAATGGTTTTTTATGAGGTTAACTCATCTGAAATACAAGCTTATTGAATACAAGGTGGACGGACTTATAGGCGAGAATATATACGGTACGTTACATGTAATGTCAAAGGTCGACAAGGTCAGCCAGTCAGAATAAGCATTAAACATGCAAAGTGAAAAGTGCAATGATGGCAATGAGAACTATAAAACAATTTGAGATAAATATTCTTTATTAATTATTTATTTACTAAAAACCACTGATTTGCCACACTATATGACAAAGGCTAATAATGATGTTTCCTTTTTCTGACAGAGGCAGGAGGTGATGGGGAACAGCTGAGACAGGAAAATGTGGCGACCATTCTGTCGACAACTTCATGGACAATATGGTGTGTGGCGATGCTTGTGATGGACATGATGTACGTAGGATGGGTAAGGAGTAGTGCTGTACATCTATCTGTCCAAACTTGTAGGTCTTCCATTACTATCTTATTTTACCCCCACATTTGTCATATTGCATATAATAAAACTTTAATCGTAACTCAATCAAAATTTTTGATTTAGCATTAGTCCATTGATTTTCAATATTGATTTAAAATTTAAGGGCTCTGACATATAAATACAAAGTGACTGTGTGTTTTAGTTTGTTGACTTGAAGGCAGAGTCAGCCGTGGGGGCTCACACCTTGTTACAGTGTGGAGTCATGCAGAGACTGGCGGATGTGTCTTATTTGACCTTCGACCTTACTTTGACAGGTAGGTGTGTCAGGGTCTTGTGAATGTCTATAGAAATCAAAAATGTCAAAGTCCGTATGAAAAGGTACAACTTTATCAAATAGCAGTTTAAGATTTACAGTTTGGAGGTTTGTATATATACTGAATGAGGGTTAAAAGTTTTGTAAGTACTGTATACAAGGAAATTTTCGCCCCTTTTCGCCCTACGATCTTTTGAGCGAATTTAAAACCGGGCGAATTCAAAGAATACAGTAAAATTTCTTAATCAAAACCATGATTGGGCGAATTTAAAACGGGGCAAAAATGTTTGCAAGTGTGAAAGGGCGAAAATAAGACGGGGCGAAAATAATCCTGTATACAGTATTGCCCGAGCAATTCATACGTGCATTGATTATTGACCGTATTGTACGTTTTACAGAGATGAAGCCAGTGTAGATACAGAGGAGGACTTCCTGCCCAGCTCAATGGCCCGTTATCGTCAACTTCTCTTTGCCGCCCTCAAATTCTGTCTGGCCATGCTGACCTCACTGGGCATAGAAAACCAGGACTGTGGCAATCAGGTGAATAGTTTGTACAGCTATATTTTTTTAATGCAGAGCCCCTCATGGACTCAAAGTTTTATATAGATAGTTCCCTAGAAAGTCAGCATATCAAGTAGAATTTGTCATGCTTTTACTTATGGGTATCAGTATCAATTTACATTTTCTTGTAGACATAATTTTATAGCATACTTAAAAATAGATTAGAATCGAGTAATTGATAGACATTAAAAAAAATATTGTCATGGGAATGTAATTTTATGGGTAAGAGTGACCCATGGAATCCAGAAATATCAGACCCCCACAAACATGTTACAGTATTGTTCATCATTCCATGCTTTTATAGGTGATGCAGTTTATCTTATCTCACGGAGAAGTTTTCCACAGAATTCTACGAGACAGACAGCCCAGGAGTTTAAGTCTCCCAGCTCTACGAGAACTAGCTCTAACTACAGCGGTACTGACCCGAGCTAACTAGAGAGGTAAATACTGTTATGTTTGTCAAGCTGATTCTGTTCATTATGAAATTTTCACTGGTAGTATTGTTTATCACAAGTTCCTTAAAAATTGTTCAAACTATGTATGTATCTTTGTTTCTAATGTTGTACAAAACAGGCATTCCAGATGCGGAATTTGATGACCTTGACCCAGCTGGAATAGAGTTGAAAGGTCAAAAGGTCAGGATTGAGAGACAAATGTTGGCATCGATGCCAAAGTACTGTATATCTGAGAAAGTCAACAAACAAATTAAGTTACTGGAGTCTGACAAGTCGACTCGGGGGAAGGACTTGAGTTCGGAACTCGCAGTGGTATTTTTAGAAGTGTCCTCCAAAACAACAAATTTAAGGACATATCTTGTCAGATTGATCAATTAAGTGTTGATAAACCTGTCAGAACTGTCAAAAAAATTTGAAGTTGTAAATCTTTAACTTTGAATTTATGTGTGTCAGAAGATATGTCATATCGAAAAAAAAACCAGATAATGGAATTGTTATCCTTATTCTTTCTCAGAAGCCTTTACCATATTGTAAATGTTAAGTAATATCAGCATCACAAAAACATATTGTAACTTTTTGTAATGTCAGTTTTTTTTAATTTGTAGGTCCAACCTCACAGTTTTCTCGTGTCCTGTTCCGGCCGAGTCTGGATGAAGCCCTTGCTAGAGATCTAGGAAGTACTGACGGTAAGTTATTGATAGCACTAGAGGTCAGAGGTCAATAAACTGTTTTATTATGTAGCTAATAAATAGTCTCTAAAGAATACTATCAAAAATCTAGAGAATTCTAGCGTTCAATATCTTAAGGGGGATGTACAAGCCATATTGGATCTAGTCTGGTGTAAACTAAGAAATACCAAGAATGCGCTTAATACTCTACTAAACTAGCCCAAAGTTACTCAAAGTGCTAAGGCACTAATTACCTACTGTTAGAGACCAAAATTAGTAAACAATTAAGTTTATTTTGTCTTAATTAGATGAAAATTAATCATGGTAGAACTGCACAGCTACGTACAGCATTCATGAGATGAAAAATGCATTGAAAATGGAGTTAGTTTGATTCATTGATAATATGGCTACAACCATTTGTTTCGTTTTTTTCTTGTCATTATCCATAATTCTTGAAAATTTGATTTTTCATATGGTGTCTTCCTGAGGCCATGTGTTTATTTTGGTCCGCCATTCCTCTGTCACACAGAGTTCGAATAACAATGATTTTAGAATAAATGCGACCATAATAACATCAAGACAAGAAATTACTAAGTAATAATCATAAGTTAAAATTACTTACTACTTTTATTTGTTGCATCGCATCGTCTGATTAATGTAAAAACGCGATTTTAACCTCACTCCAGCAAATCGGGAAAAACTGTTCTGTTTACAACTCGAAATTCCTCGTTAGTATTAATTCACTAAGCACATGGTTGGCATGTGCATATATCTGCTGTGGATAAATCTGTTTATTACCATGATTATATTTAATTTTTATGGAACAAGTCTTGATAATTTGTTGGTTACTTTAAAACTCAAGAAAAAAAGATAAAAATGTCCTAAACATATGTGTTTACGGTGGGTCTTTTTTCTGTGGCGATAGAAGTTATTTTCAAATGGGGCACTGCAAGGAGGATGCTTGGCATTTAATTTGAAAATGTTAAACAATATGCAGTGCATGAAAAATAAATTGTAATTACATGTCTTACATTCGAAAAGTTGGTACATATGTCTATTTTGTTTAGAAGTTAGATTGAAAAAATAGGCAGTTATAGGATATCCTTCAGGCACCTCACATAAATAGCTGGAATGTTTGCAATGACCCACACATTGTATGGAGTAATGTTTGGACACAAAAACGCATCATGTCTCATTATGTTGACTACGTTGTAAGCTCTCGCTCATTGAACATACGAATCTTGATAAAATATAATGAGTTGTTTCTATGAAATTTAGAAGCGAGCACAATGTTTGCAAAGAAAGGTCCATTGCATATATGCTATGTCTATCATCGCAAAAAAAGTGAGTGCTACCCCCCCCCCCTCCCTCCCCCGAAAATCCTATGTTTGTTTTTCAAAATAGTGTCAAAGATTTTTAAAAAATTGCATTACTAAGTATGTGATGGAACATGTACTAGCCTTATAAGACCACTTGTTATAAAAATATTTGGTTGCCCTCTCCCCCGATCTACTGCCTAAAATGGCCCAACTTATTTTATTAACATTCCATTACACGATATTTTTTTCTTTTTCTTCCGTCAACAATTCTGTTTAGATTTTAAGGATTTTTTTTCTCACCTATAGATACGGACCCAATAATTTTTCCCTGAGTTGGGAGGACCACCAAACATCATTTTAAAGATGTTTATAGGTTGATTTTTTCTCTTTACTTTGTACAATTGTAATTTTGAAAATATGGGCAAATAGAAAAAAAAATTTATTTATTAAATCTCCTAAACCACTCTGAATGATTTCATGCCTTTTCAACTGTTGCTCCTCTGTAATGAAAATTATAAATGCATGTTTATTTGACACAGTATACGAGGGGTGATCAAAAAGTAAACAATATCTTAGGTATTTGATATTTATATTATTGTTGAAATATTCAAGTATTTTTCAAAGTATAAAATTTTAATTACAGGTCTTTGATAGCATATTGCTTTATTAAAAACACATCCCTTTTCAAACTTGCTTTCACCGGGCAACATAACAAGTATCATATTTAACCCCCCCATCTGCCTTCCTTCACTAAAGCGATATCCAATCATTGATTGAAATTATAGGAAGCTTTTCGTCAAAAGTACCTGAATAATGACGTCGTTTTCAGATTGTGACATCACAAACAAGGATCAAAACTTCATCATATGCTATTTATAGAACTTGTGTTTGGCTATCTAATCTGAACTGTGGTTTTGTTGATATAGAGATTTTTCGCAAAATTTTTGATAACGCTTTGTACTAGTAGGTACTAAAACAAGGTCATTCGTATCAATTTTATGTGTCTAATTTCTTTGTGTTTTATTGTAGATAATTAAATTTTAATAGATAATATAATTTGTTTGTGGCAAACTTACAAACTCTTAATTTTTAACTTTGATGCTGCTCATTTTTCCTTACCGGGAATCAAAGAGTTTAAATTTTTTTATATCAATACGTAAACTATATAACAACTGTTCGATAATAATGCTAAAAATTACTTCAAGCCACACTATAACACCTTTCCTCTTTTAAAAGTGTTCATATTTTTGAAATATTTTGCAACTGTAATTCTCTTCTACATTTAAAGATTGTTATGCCCCTCCATATTAAGAAGAGGTCTGGAAAACAAGATTCTGTGCTAAAAATAGACCACGTGCTGCTATCCATGAACTACTTTCATGGTTCTTTACACTCTTTTTGAAGACAATGGTACCTTGTTTTGAACTTGAAATTATCATTGAAAAGTGCAAAATTTAGACATTTTCTCAACAAATGGTTGTAGAGAGAACATTAATGCACAGTTTGCATATTTTTTTGGATTTTGTAAGGCTCTGCTGAATTCTGTAGCTGCGCAGTTCAAAGGAGCATATCAAAAGCATTTTTCTGCAAAAGTATAGATATGCACAACATGCATTCGGTTAAGCATATTTACTGTATCTTTATCAAAAAGACTTAAAATTTGATCAAAATACAATGTATTTTAGCCATTTGAAGAAATGTTTACATTTTGCTCTCAATTAATGCACTAAAATGGCCGTACATCCCTCTTAACATTTTATTGAAATTTATATACGTATATGAGTATGCCCTTAACATTCCTAATACGTGCGCTCAATATTGAACGCCCCGTTTTTAACAATAAAAATCGTTTAGTCAATTCTCAGAACTAAATAAAAAAAAGAAAGTGGATCTAGGTAAGATGTGTTTATTTTTTACACAAAAAATAAATTATTTATTAAAAAATTAGTATACATGTATTAGACCCAAGCAAACCATAATGCTTGGTAGGGTCATCGGAATGATGAGATATTGAACATTTTCAGGGCAGGTATTAATTTGAATACCAATGCTAAAAATCATTAATTTGATTTTTTTAAAGTTGGAATAATTATTATGAATTATGAGGAAATGTCTTAGCTACATGATATAAGAGCTATTGAACTTGTATTGGTGAATATGGCTCATGCATTTGTACAGCCAACTTGTGTCAATATTAACCGATTTAAGTTCAATAACCCTATAGTATGTTTAATAAACAAGACTTAGCCCTCATCCAAAATATTAATTTATATATGGGAAGGTATTGTTTATAAAAATCCGTTTGTCCATTAATTTTTACAGGATTTGTGATTTTCCTTTAAATTTCAAATTTGGAATGCATGTTACTTGAAGGACAAACTAGCCCAAATGAAAAAAAGGGGGAAACAAAATACTATAACAAACTACTTACAAAACACATGTTTTGAAAGTATTCCGATAGTATAGCAAATCACATGCAAATGAGCTAACAAAACACTATAACAAACTACTAACAAAACACGTTAACAAAATACTTTCGAAACACTCTAACAAGCTACTCACAAAACGCTTCAACAAAATACTTACGAAACACTCTAACAAAATACTAACAAATCATAAGCAACAAATCATCAATAAACCATTAAAATTTGAATTTTTTAAATTATAATTATCAAATCCACAAGTCTTTGAAAACATCTAAACACAATCTCATTTTGAAACATTATAAACACCTTGTTTCACAAAATTTTGAATTCCAGAATTGACATTATCGTTCAATTGACAATAGCGCACCATTCCAACTTTTAAAAACTTGAGAGATATAATTCTTAAGCCATTTCCCACTTCTCCAATCACATACATTTTCACAGAATTTTCAAGTATAATTATAATTCATCATTTAATTCAGTGCTTAAAACTGATATAAGCTGGGTAGTATATGGATTAAAGGTCAATCTTAACATGAACAAAACCCCAATAAAAACAGGCCATATATGTATACACATCCACATTCACAGATTGAAGGTTACTGTAGTCCAGCATAAAAGAACTTTATGTCATGCAATAAATAAATACCTCTGTTATATCCAGATACATCCTGATTATGCTTTTTCCAATCAGGGATCAATATACATGTATATACTTTACATGTCCCTTCATCAATCTCTATGTTTCTCTCTGACCTAGTGCTGGTGGTTTGAAAATTGGCGCAAAACTAGTAATACAGGATGAAAATAGATAACTTGTTCTTGGAAGATTTTACTGCACCTAGATAATTCAACCCTAAACATGTCTGTTAATCAAATGAAATGCTAACAAAATATTAATTTGATGCAGACAAGTATAATGAAACACTTTCAAAATGCAATTTCATTCTGCAGAGTGTAAAGAAACATTAATAAAACACCAACAATGTAATGAAACATAAACAAAATACCATGCCACTCCATCCTGTAAAGTCTTGCATTGATGTTTCATTAAATGCAACACCTTCAAAACATACTAAGAAAATATAAAAGTGTGGTTTGTTAGTGTTTTGAAGATATTTTGCATGTATTTTGTTAGATTTCTTTTTCATTTGGGAGCTACCAAAGTTGATGATATCTAAATATCTCCTCCACTTTGGGTATTTAGCTGGGTATTTAGCAGACAAACTAAGTGCAGAGTAACAATTAGTAAGAATGCCTCAAACGTAATAGTGAAATTCCTAAGCCCTGGGTCAGGGTACTTGAGTAAGAGGAGGGTCCTATTATATATTTGGAGATTTTTTTCTCTACTTTAAAAGGTCATTCTTGTTTCTTAAGGTAAACTTAAAAACATCCCAATCATGATACAAGTACAAGTATTTATTTAAAGTTTCATATATTTTATTTTGCAGTACTTATTTTAAATGTACTTGTAACATATCTTGTTAAGGTAAACTTGAAAAAAGAGGGTAGAGGTCTTTATTTTTAAACACTTTTCTCGTTTTAAATGTACTTGTTACATATCTGGTTACAGACACCTCATTCCTGAGTAGCTGTACGGTCCAGGCCCCCAGTCTAGGGATGGTGGTGTACCAACTCCGTCAGTGTGCCAACCACTTCATGTCTGTGTACGAGAGTCACAAGCAACATCTACGTAAGCGACAGAGTCTGGCTGATCTTAGTACAGACGACCTCAAACAGGTACAAAAATGATAATAAAATCAAAACATAACGTACTACAAAGGATATGAAATCAGAGTAGGTTGTAACTTTTAGTCATTTAGAATATATGTCTTTTATGTATTTTTATTTTTATATTATAATGTTTTTAATCTGTTTATTTAGTTTTCTGGAGTAGGAGAGAAGCTCACATCTCATCAGAGACGGAAACTCTCTAAAACTCGCCTCACCAAAATCGTACACTACAAGGAGGAACTACTGCAGTACTTTGCTTCTATCCTTTATGAATGAAGCAAAATATTAGAATTTGTGCAATGTAAACTTTTTTGTTTGAAGTTGAAGCTAGCTTTTTTCTTAAAAAAAGTTTTGGCAAGTTCTTTGCATTTTCAAACATGAGGACCCATGGAAAAGTGAACTGCCTATATAGGCAGTTACTAGGCAGTTCTTTAGCAGTTTTACTAATTTTTAGCAGTTTTCAAACAGTTTCATGCAGTTTGATTTTTACTGCTCCCTAGTAACTGCTAGGACCTTGGGAGTAAACAGTTTTCCTTAGCAGTTTTTAAGCAGTAATCAGTTTCCCTAGCAGTTATATCTTAGCTGCATATGCTTGAGGACAAGACAGTTTCCTATACAGTTTTGTTAGCAGTATATAAGCAGTTTCCTTGTAAAATTTGATTGGGTTCAAGAGAAATTTAATGTTGGGCTCAATGTTCCAACAAATATAACAAAACAGGAAGCCAACAACTGACCGCCAAACTTGAATTCTGGGTGCCAATTTGTATTGTTGGACAAAGGCTATATAAACCAATGAAGAGGGAGCCTGTGCTGGCCATAAGCTGCATTTAGATTTAATGAAGAAATGATGTAGTCATTTAACAATTGGTAAGTCATTACTATAATATATTTATGTGGCCTTTGATAAAGAGATAAATTGAATACATGTTCTGTTCAAATTTTTTGTTTGAATTAATTAAGGGCATATCATATTAATGATTGCAATCTGTGTCATGATTAATTCCTTTCCATTTACAGACTTTTAGAAGAGGAGTGGGACAAAATTCTAGTTGGCATACACAAATTTTTGTGTCTATTTCAAGAATAACAACTGAGATCTGAATGGATGCATCTATAAACCTAGCTGGCTGAGCAATAAATTATGATTACCAAAAGAGTGTCAATTGAAATACTTTTGTGGTTTACATAAGGATAGAAAAACCCAACAATGTACTTGCCTTTAGTGCAATAGGACTGCTGTATAATCAGGACTTAATGTGGGATGAAGTGGATATTTATTGCTGTTACTTAATTTTGACATTTTAATTATACCTTCAGTGTTGAATCTTGTTGAGCATCATAAGCCCTGGGATATATAAGTTTTCTAAAAAGTCAGTGAGTATAACTGCATGGTTGTTAATGTGTTAATAATTAAGATACATGTAAAATTACAGATGCATAAAACAGTACTAGTGTTTAAATTTTTATTAAACATTCATCATAGCAATCTCTGATTGATTGATTGTGTAGTTAATCAATTGTACAAAATACAATAAATTAAAATGTAACAATTGATATATTATTGCTATGTATTAAAAGTTTGATACGAGAAAACCTCTTTGTGACTCATTAATATTTATGTGATAAAAGGGAAATAGATAAGCAGTATACTGGAAGTCCACAAGCAGTTAGCAAAAACTGCTAAAGTAACTGCCTATGAACTGCTTAAGTAACTGCCTATGAACTGCTAAGAAACTGCCTATGAACTGCAAAGAAACTGGTAAGGCTAAGAAAACTGCTTATAAATTGCAAAAGGTTTGTTCATCCATCAGCAATCTGGGGAAGGTTAAGTAACTGCTCTAGGACTGCTTAAATGTTTAAACTGTTAAGGCTAAGAAACTGCTTAATAACTGCCTTCCACTTTGCCATGGGGATGGGTACACTGTAGAGGCATTGAAAAGCAAGAACAAACATTATTTGAAGTAATCTCCCTTTACTATGCTGCAGACATCTTGAAGGAAAAAGAGCACCAAAGACCCAGATTTTTACATCATTTCCTGGTTGAACAAGATGATCCAGAGTAATGAATTGGTAGGCTTTTGCTGATTGGCTGAATTCAGGTATGTGGATATTTTCATTTTAAAGTAAAAATATTAATGTTTGAATTAAATGATGGAATGAGGAAATATTCTAGAAAGTATAGAAATACCAAGGGATAAATAAAGGAGTGGGGTTGATTTTTGAAGTAGAGTGCCATTTACTGCCGAACCCTGGAAGTTGAAAAGGACTGCAAATTTGACCTATAAACGCCGCGGCACAGTATATTTTTTTCACTGTTTTTAATAAGTGTTTAGAATAAATTTTCAAATGATACTAAGTGTTTGTTGGAAAGTGAAATAGTAAAGTGTTGGGAGGGCAAAAGATTTGTATAGAGTTCTACGGGAAATTAATTGGTACCCTTTTCCCTATAGAACTGTCTGTTTATGTTGTGGTGCCACCTGGAGTATTATCTCATTCACTGCATTCCTGTCAATCAGCAGACATCTACGTATCAGAGTCAGACTCGCAGACACACTCAACTCAGGAGGCTTCAAGGTTAGTCAGGATATTTATATCTCATGTCTTTTTATGTGGTACAAACTAATTTTGATTTAATTGTATTGTATGCATGAATATTTATATTTTTACCAGGGTAGAAAGGTAGAGCTGGTTCATCGGGTTGCTTTTATGGTAGAGATGCATCAGACCAGGTCTCAGTTCCCAGGTAGGGGACTGGAGGTCAGCCATCTCTGCCATAAGAAGTTGTGTATCAACCCGATGCACCTTAAACTGGAGTCGCATGCCATCAATCAGGAGAGGATGCACTGTACAGGCCAGGGTTTTTGTACTGAGGCCCACCACCCCAAGTGTATTTTTTAAAGTAATATTTTATTTATAGAAAAAATTGATAAATATTGAAATATTAATCACTCAGTTTTAGAATAGTTGTGTTCAGGGTGCTTTTTTTCTGACCTCGGGTTCGAGATTCCACTAGCATCATGTTTTTCTTATATTTAATTTCTTCCTGATGTTTTTCATACAGTTTGTACATTTTTTTGCGTTTGATAACCCTTTTTGTTTTGTAAGACTGAGACTTTTGGTACGTTTTATTTAATTCATAATCTTTTTGAATCTTATCTAGGGTATGGTCAACCTGGCCACCAGTGGGGATGGGGGCACCAACCCCTGCACAGAGACCTCGGATGGAGCTGCCCGGACCATGATTAGAAGAGTGAGCAGCACTGTGCGCCCGACCAGCAAAGTTTCTCGTGAAAGTAACATTCCGAGGCAGGGATCGCCGCAGAGTTCTGTTGAAGCTTTCGACCTTTTGTGAGTTGCTATTTTTGATCGTCCTGTCCAGTACAGCTGGAGACAACCTATTTGAGATGCAGGCATGGAGCCTTGCCTCGTTCTCGTCAGAAACCGGTATAGTAAAATCTTGACCTAAGTAAGAACTCTTTTTAACCCAATTGTTACTAACTCTGCCTTTGCACACTAAAGAGTGTTTCCTGCATAATGCATGATCCCCCATGTAACACTTCACTATTGCATGTTTGGCATAAGAGATTTTGTTTTTCATTTTATCTGCATCTCCGGCATATGCTGCTTGGGCTTGGTTTATCTCTGCCGTGCATCTGTCAACAGCATCGAGGGCAATGTTATGCAAAAGTTTGGTTTTTCTGCCTTTGTTCTTCTTGGCATGACCTCTAAGAGTTTTTGATCTTTTTTAATTGCCTTTCTGATCGACTCGGACAAGTGTCGAGTGTCAATATAGTGAACAGGGATATTTTGAAGCAGACCGTCCTTGTAGAGGCAATCTGCAGCTCGACCAGCCGAGCTGTCCGGGTCAATGATTACCTCCCTTACTTCAAGGCCATCTTTGCAGAGGAGTTCCGCCATCCCCTCCTGAGCCCATGTAAACTCAACCCCTATGGTACGGTGCATTGGTAGGTTTGCCCCACACACTCCAGGACTGCATTGGTGGTTAGCAGTACCCTCCTTCAGTAAGTGGCCATGTTTTGAACAGATTTTATTTTTTGTAACCATTTTAATTATTTGATGTTTTGATTTAACATTTTCAGCGAATGAGTACACAGTCTGTGTTGCCGGCTGGAAGGGTGTCTCACCCACCCCCGAGTACAGGGGGTTATTGTACATGCCATTGCACTGTACGGGGATGGCATGTGGGGTGTCACTTCCCCTTCGAGTGTTGACATCCACCAGCTGGCGACACTGGTTACTCATGTCAGCTGCATTTAGGGTCTCTATTATGGGCATAATTTTATTCGATGTTTTTTGTAGGGACATACGAGAAGGAGGGGATGTGTTAGTAGAAAGAAGAATTTTCCTCACCCCATCATTGCCTACAGGGGTTTGACTAAGGCCCACCTGAAGCCCATAATTGACAGTGGCAGCTTTTCTACCCCGGGCTTTGGACTCTACTTCCTCGTACAATTTATACTGCTTGGATGTGTAGCCGCACTTGGTGCAGCAGAGGCCCATTCTGCATCCCAGGCCCCGCCTGTCTTCGGTAGCCAGGTCCCATGTGAGTGGTCCATCACAGCCTGGTTTCTCATGCCGGTGGACTCGCATGACCTCATTCCACATCTCGGCTGTTTTTCTCAGATGTAGGAGTCTATGGGAATTTTGGTTAGCCAGCCTAGGTAAATATGTAATGTATCATTTGTATGTAACTGTTGAGAGTGTACAGAGCATGCGAGTAGATATTAGAGTTACTTCCCTTAACCCATCTAACAAGATATAGAGATTTTTAGCATGGTTTAATTAGGGCCCCGCAAGGATTTGCGGGTGCCCTATAGTAATCACTCTGTCTGTCCGTCCGTCTGTCTGTCTGTCTGTCCGTCTGTCACTCTTCCGTCCACAAATTTTCTGTTTTTTTCTAATAACTTTTTTTATGGTTGCCCAATCAAGTTTAAATTTGGTTTGGTAGTTTAATAGGCAGAAATACATATTTTGATGCTAAGTTTGATTCTCTATGTCTTCTAGTTTGGAGCTGGGGTGGTGGGGTAGATTCCTTAACTATGCATAAGAATGAACGGGCAACTTTTTTTATGGTTGCCCAATTAAGATCAAATTTGGTACGGTAGTTCAGTAGGCAAAAATACATATTTTGATGCTAAGTTTGGTTCTCTCTGTCCCTTGGTTTGGAGCTGGGGTGGTGGGGTAGATTCCTTAACTTTATATAAGAATGCATTTGCAAAGAGAGATAACTGCTGAAGATGTTCCCATTCAGTAAACTGAATGCTACTAGGAGTCCCATGGGATTAATTAGCTTTCCTCCTGAAGAAAATCCAGAGCATTATCTTTATCTGTCACATTGAGATTAATTACCACCTCTGTCTGCAAATGAAGTTTGTTTTGAAGTTAAATCAATTTGGAATGCTATGAACACTCTGAAATGTGGATTTAAATATAAATTTTTATTATTTATTTTTGTTTGATAGTTATGATTTCATTGAATCCAAAAAAAAAGAAATAGATTAAAGAAGATTTTTTGATTTACCAGGGTACTTTTTTTCACTTTTTTCCTTTTTTTTTTAAAATATATTAATTCAAGAATGTTTTTAATTTTTAATGTAGTTGTATAAAAACCCCATTCTATCATTAATGCTGAAAAAGTTCTTATTGTAACTTTAGAAGAAAATGATGAGAGAGGTACAATTAATCCCTTGGGATTAATTATGTAGCCTGCTGCAGAAAATTTAGTAGGCTTCTCTTTATCTGTCACTTTAAGATTAATGAAAACCTTTGTCTGCAACTGCTGTTTGTTTGAAGTTAAGGTCAAGCCTTCATGATATTTGCATTCATTGAAGGCTGGCATTTTATATAACACAAGATTCATAATTGTTTAAATATAAATTCAATGTTAAGTTGTTCTTTACTGCCTAATGTAAATACAAGAATATTATTTTCAGGTTTTTGAATATTCAGGAATTATGTTGAAATTTTAAGAATACAGTTGCTGTTGCTTTTTCTTTGTACATTTATTAATCATTCTGTAAGCTGCACCCTTTTAATTCTACCCCATGGCGGGGCCCTTGCTGACTGGTCAGTTTTCTAGTTTATTTTCTGATGGACTTAAAGCTTGTAATTTTTTTTTGAAATACTGATAGGACTTTTAAATGCATGTATGTAAATTGATCCTGCATGTATTTACATGTATTTACATGTAATAGTGTTAAATATGTACCCCACCCTTATAAGGTCATTTTTTTTATATTTAGCCTTGTAAGAAATAAGTAATGATTAATATTTAAGAATATTTTGAAAAATAAGGATTATTTGTAATTGATTTATTCAAAATTTGACTTACTGTTCTGATTCATTCACATTTAGGCCCTCTTGAAGACTTTCATTTTCTGCCTTCCTTGGCCTTAGGAGATGGTGGAACCGAGGCCGGACAAGCATTTCCTGACCTTCTGCAGATGGCGGAGTCGCCGACACCATCTGATGCATTTCCACAGATAGTCTGCTGTACGGTGCAGGTACATTTTCCATTCCTTTACTTTCCACCCCCTTATTGTGAGGCACATTTTGGGGTTTGAAACTGTACTTATTTCCTTTTTGAAATTTTGGCATGGCTTTCAATTCCCTTTTTCTAGTTTTGGATTTCAGTATTTTGGCAAATATACAGAGCTGTTTAAGGCTACAGAGACTGAACTCTAATGTGTTATCAAAATAAGGGATTTTCTCTTGTCTCAGTTAATTATAAACAAAGAAGATGGGGGGCACCTGCTATTTCTCCAAGTAACATTAGATAGGGGGTGGTGAAACTTTTTGCACATACTTAATCAGCAGGGAGGACCAGATAAGAATCATTAGCTTAACTAGGGTCCTGATTGATTTACTTCTCACAATCACTAAAAAGATTGCTAATAAATCTTTTTGAAATATCAATATTTTGCCTCATTTTCTAAGTTTTCATTAAATTTTGGAAGTTTTCTAAAATTCTGGGTAGAATCCACCCTTATGAAAAAAATGACACAGTTTATAGTTAATATCATTTTATTTACATTTCAAAACAAAAACATGTCAATAAACAAATATTTTATTCATTACAGTCACCAAAACATCCAAATATGAACACGGCTCTGACAGTCAATCTCCATGTTGAACTTAGGGAGTACCAGTAAAGTGTCATCACTTGAAATGGTCACAGTATCCAAGACACTGAAGTCACAGAACTCAAATTTCATACATGTACACAGGTAAGTGTCAAGTCTTTAAAATATACAAAATTGACTAATTCCTAGGCAGGTAAATATGTGAGTATAGGAAAAAGAGCACCAAAGACCCAGATTTTGACATCATTTCCTGGTTGAACAAGATGAAGCAGAGTAATAAATGGGTAGGCTTTCACTGATTGGCTGAATTCAGGTAGGTGGGTATTTTCATTTTAAAGTAAAAATATTAATGTTTGAATTAAATGATGGAATGAGGAAATATTCTAGAAAGTATAGAAATACCAGGGGATAAATAAAGGAGTGGGGTTGATTTTTGAAGTAGAGTGCCATTTACTGCGGAACCCTGGAAGTTGAAAAGGACTGCAAATTTGACCTATAAATGCCGCGGCACGGTATATTTTTTTCACTGTTTTTAATAAGTGTTTAGAATAAATTTTCAAATGATACTAAGTGTTTGTTGGAAAGTGAAATAGTAAAGTGTTGGGAGGGCAAATTAGATCTGTATAGAGTTCTATGGGAAATTAATTGGTACCCTTTTCCCTATAGAACTGTCTGTTTATGTTGTGGTGCCACCTGGAGTATTATCTCATTCACTGTGTTCCTGTCAATCAGCAGACATCTACGTATCAGAGTCAGACTCGCAGACACACTCAACTCAGGAGGCTTCAAGGTTAGTCAGGATCTTTGTATCTCAGGTCTTTTTATGTGGTACAAACTAATTTTTATTTAATTGTATTGTATGCATGAATATTTTAACCTCCAATTTTATTTCATACCCTCTGAGAATAAAAAATAGGGCGAACTTAAAAAAAATGACATGACGGAATCTAAGTGAATTAAAAAATTGTTTTGAAAGTTTAAGTGGGCAAATATATAGCTACAGAACTGTAGCTCTCTGCTTGAGAAAATTCGGATCGATAAAGCAGAGAGCTACAGATCCAAGCGTTGTAAAAACCTTCGATTTACGCCGACGATATTTTGTCGCATTTTTTCGTGTATTTTATACTTTTCCCAGTTTTAAAAATAATTTTAAATGGTTTTTAATAATTAATCGTACATTCAACTTCAACTTCTGATCATTTACTTACCTCTCAACGCTAACAAATGGCTGTTTGTGGTTATACGGACGTCGAATTGGAACTCTTTTAAACCGACATTACAAAACTGTATACAGGACTGTTTCGGACTGTTAAAAGGTAGACAAAGTATCAAGTATACGAGTTAAATATATGAATTATTTATAGGTTGCTTTTCTAAAAGCCATAGAAAGCTTAAACTACACGAAATAAATGCCCAAAGTAGCGACAACAAATCGTCGGCGTAAATCGAAGGTTTTTACAACGCTTGGGTCTGTAGCTCTCTGCTTTATCTGTCCGAATTTTCTCAAGCAGAGAGCTACTGTTCTGCAGCTAGCAAATATGAAACTGAATGAAAATAATGTTGCATACAATATTTTTTATCTCGGTGTGTAATGTACTTCTAGGTTGTGATTGCTGATTAGTTAATTAATGTTTACAGATTTGATTGGGATTTCCCACTCATCATTCCAGATAGTGATTTCTGATTAGTTAATCTTTAATTTTTCACAGATCTGACAGGAATTTCTTACTCATCACTGGGAGAATCTGATGCCAACTCTTTATCAGACATAGACAGACAGCTTATGAGGGGAGTGACCAGTGAAGATATTGAGACACTGAAACAGCAACTCCGCCATACACAACTCACTCCTCAAAAAGATACAAAGATTGACCAGGTAGTGAAAGGACAGATAATGATTCCAAATATAGGGAGAAGCCATGAGAAAAAAAATGTACAAAAATGAAAGAAAAATATTAGTCCATACCCTCTCCCACAGTCAACATTTTAAAAAAATGGTTCAACCCCCCCTTTCTAGCACAACCACCACCGTAGTTCACCTTTCACCCACATCCAAGTGTTACAGCCAAACCTTTCCCCCGGCCCATCTTAAGAATTAGTTCAAATACATCCTTCCCAATCTCTACCTTAAAACTGATTCATCTTTCCTTCCATGGTCCACATTTAACTCTCTCCCACAGCCATAATTAAAAAGTGTTTTGTCCATCCCTTTTCTCGCGCCAGCCTGCCTTAAAATTGTGTCAATGTTTTGTGAGATTAAATGATAAATGGAAATTAGCTTTTCTTGTGGGACATTGGAAATAGCATCTTTTATTCCATATTAGGGTACAACTTGATCCAGATGGCATTATATAACACTGAATACTTGAAAATGAGAAATACAGTGTACTTTAATTAAGCCATGCTTAATTTATAACCTAACTATGAAAAATGTCTTTGGATTTGTTTAAACCATTGTTTGTTTGTTTGTTTGTTTGTTTGTTTATTTAGGAATACTGTAAGTCCAGGACCCACTACATGAGCTTTGTGGAGGCCCTCATAAGGAAAGTAAGAAGACTATTTAGGCTCAACACGGGGAGCTGATAAGTTATAAAACAGACACAGGTGGCTCACTATAGTGAAATGATTGTTGTCTATAAAATTTGATATGACTTTTTGATATTTAGTTCTACTGACAGTGGACTTATTGAGCTGACATCCCATGAAACTTGACGTGTTAATATTTGTATAAATCATTTTTGACCATGTATTAAAGATGTATGTGAATTAAAATGAAAACATCTACAATAAAAAGTTTTCTGAATCAGATTTCTCATCTTTATTTTGGATTACATACACAGTCAAACCTTGTTATCTTGGGCCCTATGAGTCCCAATGATTCATGAAAAAACATGCAAATAAAGTGGTTAAAATTTATCTTGGTCAATTAAGATTCTTAAATAAATCAAAAATAAATAGATTAAAAAGTATGTGCATTTATTTTAGATCTAAGGGCATTTTATTCTAACTACATCAAAAGTACAGTATAATCACAACCCTTCAGTGTGCAGTGCATGAAACAGGATCAACTTGAAAAAATGTACATCATACTTCTTAATTTCTTCATCCTTGCAAATATACATGGTATTCATTTGGTCATTTTGAAATATTGAAGTTTTCTTCCAATGTAATGTTATATTTTTGAGAAGTCATTTCAATCTTGGGTAGAATTCTGAAAAGATTGTTATTAATAATTGAATTTTTTATTTATATATATATTTTATATATATATATACCTTATTGATAATATTGAAAATATTTTCACACACGCACACATCAACACAAGAAAGTGAATTAAACTACATCTTGTGATTTTTGTTACTGGAAAAAATTCTATCACAAACTTGTCGTTATTTATTTTAAAACACATTGATTACATGTATTTGATTTTCTTCACTTTACCACTGTTATTCTCAGTCACAAAGAGTTTGTCTCTGGTGTCTACACATAAATTCCATGGACGCTGTAGATCACAGTTATCAATGTAACGGAGGAACTGTCCGTCCTGATCTAGGATGTGGATACAGTTGTTACTAAAGTCTGCTGTCAGGATCTGACTCTGGCTGTCTGTTGTGATGCCAACTGGATTCAATGATCCCTTGTTAGTAGAGGGATGACCAGTGTATCTAAGATGGAGTTTTCCTGCCTGATTAACCACCACTACTGCATGGGCTTCAAAGTCAGCTACACAGATATCCAGGTTCCTGTTCTCACTAATGTATTTAGTAGAGTAACCAGATGAATACAGAGGTTTACCTTCACTATCAAACTGAATGGTTTGTTTCTCTGTGGAGTCAGAGTAACGGACAACTTTTGATTGTTTTCCATCATTACTGACCATGGTAACCAGGAGGTCACCTGAGGAGGTACTACAGACATTGTAAGGTATCCACCCCCGTAGTCTGATCACTTCCTGTATCTTTTTTTTCTTCACTATGTTTACAGTTCCTGTATGAGTGTCAGTATAAACTAGATCTCCACTCCTTGTCACTGCTATGTCACGTGGTGTGTACCCAGACTTGGTTTGGATTGACTTCAGTAGTTTACCCTGGAGGTTGTAGAGTTTCATGATTTTGTCTTCTCCACGTGTCCAGATTTCTTCATCACTGAGACAGGTAACACTGTATAGTTCTCTATACCCAGTGTTTATGGTGGTGATGAGCTCTGGTTCATCAAGCAGTGGTTTGACTGGAAGACAGGATACAGCTTCTGTTGTCTTCATTGTGTAGCCATCTTCTTTAGTTGTAATGGATAATGATGACAGAGAACCAAACATTTGATAGAACTGCTCTGTGTTGATCGGATGAGGAGAAAAACTTGGTAATGTAACGTTGATTTTAGGAGGTAAACTTCTGAATGCAGCATTCCTGGATTTGTATGCAGAGGTTAGGGAGACATCATTGGAGTCCAGTAATTTCTTTAGATCAAGTATGCATTGTTTAACATCAGATGTGGTCTGTTTGATTTCATGTTCCTGTTTATTTAGAGCTGCCAGGTGTTTAGATTTCATCTCATCAATTTCAGATTTCTGTTTGTTGACAATGATGTTAATTTCTCTGTGCCAGTCTTCTCCTTGTTTGGTGACAGCTGTTGTCAGTTTCTCATAATGCTTTTCCAAATTAAGTTTTTCAGAGTTTAAATCTAATACAATTTCTTCATATGTAGGACATATTCTTTTTTCTAGTTCTTTCAAATCGTTGTTTAAAATTTCTTTTATAAAGCTGGGATTCTGTAAGATATTTGTTAACTTATGCCCATGATGTTCATCAGAGGAGAGGCAGGTAGAACAGACAGGAATGTCACATTTCTCACAGTAAAGTTCACAATGTTTCTGGGTGTGGTTTGGACACTTTGGGTAGTTAACATTAGGGGTAGATTTTCTGTGTTTGTATGGCACAACTTTGTGTCTTTGAGATGAATCAGAGAGATGCTCCCCTACACAGGCCTTACACAGGTTAATCTGACAAAGTTCACAACGACTCTGTAATGCAGCTGTTTGACACAGGTCACAGAGGAGGAGTACTTGAGCTCTGTCCAGGGGGTCCATCACTGGGGTTTTGTTTAAAAGAAAATCAGATGACTCTGTATAAAGTAAAAAGAGGCATGGGTCACTGACTTCAGGAATATGACACAATTTTAAATAAATACAATATAAGAGTTATGTTTTGTTAGAGAAATTGTAGGACAGTGTCGGTTTAGAAATAACAGGAAGGATCTATTTGCAGCATTAATATGGCATGTAAACTTTTCTTGTTTGATAACAAAAAATGAAAAAATGTTAAACAACAGTCAAAACAGTCATGTAGTAAATAAATGTATCTAAAGTGGCCCGCTCATGCAATTTATCTAATGTATTATACGTGTACTAGACTTGAGATCAATAATGAAATCTGGAAATGTTTTTCAGCAAGTTAAACATGTTAAATTTTCTAAATATAATATAGCCTCACCTCTAAATCCAACATGGCCTCCCTGATAATCCTGTACATCACAATTTACTTCCTTGTCTTCATTCTAAATGTTAACCTGTTACCAGGTCACCTGATTTAAATACCTCAGCTATCTAAATATATCAACCTTTGAGAGAAGTACGTTTAAATTAAAATAGATTAAAGTTAAGGGGTGTTATTAACAATAGTTACCGTATATGGTCATTAAACCCATGAAAATGATCTTTAGAGTCACCCCGTCTATCTTTTATCTCCAGCTTTCTATCATCTTCGCCAGCCATGGTTTCCGATCCGAAATCTACTCTACAACCCTAGGGATCTAGCGAAGATGGCTTTGAATATATCCATCATATTTTTGTCTATACGAAAAGTCTTTGAAATATTTTCTCCCTTAATTTTGTAGACGTTTATTATAATATGAACTATACACTTATACCTGGCATTTTCAGATAAGTTTTTCTAAGTTTTAAGGACGGGTGACTTCATGCAACAGTGGCGTAGCATCGTTTTTGAAAAGGGGGGGGCAGCCTGAGAATTTTTTTTTTTACTTACCTGAAAAAGTTGACAAGTAAAAAAAACAGTTTGCCCAAAAGTCAGAAATCCTATTTCGGGGGGAGGGGAGGGGGGGGGGGTAGGTGAAATTTTTCTCAGTGTCAACTACTTCAGTACCAATTCTAATACTTCATTTTCGGTACATCACTTAAAAAGTCTAAAATTTAGGGGGGGGGGCAACAACTAGGTTTTCAATTAACATTTCCTATAGTACATGAAACAGTAAGAGTGGGAAAAAAGTGGGGGGAGGGGGGGGGCAGCCCCCCCCCCCCCCTCCGTTGCTACGCCCCTGTACAATTAAGGATATGCGAAAATTGCGATAAAATAAACTCTGAAAGCAGACATTTTCTTTTAATTGCACGAATGGTCAACATCTTATCTAGCTGCAGATCTGTAGCGTCATGGTTTTATATATTTGTCTTTTTTAACCACCTTTCAACCATTTATAGTTGTCTCTTCAGGCAAAAAACTCGCTTGAAGTCAATTTTCAGCAGTATAAAAAATAATTTTAATCAAGCGAGTTCATCACTTGTAAAGACGAGTATAAAGGGATGGGAGGTGTATAAAATATACATATTGGCTACAGAATGTGTCTAGAATTAGGGAGTGAAAGTGGAGAAATTCCCCCAAAAGCGCGCAAAAAATATTGAGCCATAAATTGCATGCACCTTTTTGCATTACAGGATCTGTAGCGTTATGGTCAAAGACAAATATTTAAAACCATAACGCTACAGATCTGCAGCTACATCTTATCTATAAATTAATGCTATTACATAACATAAATTGCTTTATAGAACATTTAATTGATACTTTCACACACAGGCAATTAACGTTATTTATTTTTATTATTAGGTAGGGGGTATATTTTTTATTAAAAGAAAAAAATAAGCAACGTGAGGTGTTGAGCTTGCACATGAATCATATGTATTCCTTTTGAGAACTTTCCTTTGGTACCAATAACTTTTAAATTACGTTAAGAACTTGGAGTATGATCTGATAAGTTATGAAAAACTGAAAACCCTGATCGATATAACTTTTTACTGGTCAAGGGGTGGGGGTGGGGGGGGGGGTAAGGAGGCAATAATTTTATCATGCTTTAATTGTAGTTCTTGATCTTAGAGTTTGAAATATATTTGAAAACTTTAATCTTATATATATCTTATATCTTATATAGAGCTTTAATCAACTGAATCAGTGTTTCACAAGATCATCTTCTTTTCAAATTGTCTCATTTGAATTTAAAAAACCTGTTTATGTGCTGTATTAACTTTTTATGTCAATTTGCATCGGGTTCAAGATTGAAAAAATATTAGTTTCATATTGGCGTCAAATCAAAAAACCTCAAAGTAGCCAGTCGCCGAGTCGGCAGTTGTACACTGGGCCCATAATATTAGACAAACACTTCTAATAGTGACACGAAAAAGTAGGTAAGCTATATCCATAATGTTCTGTTGTCTGTTATCCTAAAAGCAAAGTGTTTGAAAAAATTATGTGTAAAGATTGACTGAAAAAGATGCAAGAACATGAAGAACCAGTTACCTAGTTAGAATAATCTAACTGTGTCTAGGTACAAGCCCTCACCACAGTTAGAATACCACCCATATACTCGCAATGTAGCAAAAAATTGCAGAATCGCAACGAAACGATTTTGAAGGATACAAACAGATTTGCACGGAAAATAACATAAATTAATCAAAACAAACCTTTTTGAGATTGCTTATGCCTTTTATCCCAAAAAATAATCCATAGAAATACGAAAATCTAATAAATTTTCTCAACGTTTTTCTCTCAATATTCAAAGCTGTCATGTTTACATTCTGAACTCTCTAGATTGTTCCCAGTAAATGCACTATGCGGGTTATTCTTTTTGCTACATTACGAATACACGGAACGAATTCTATCGTTAAACCGGGTCCGTAGGACAATATCATTTTAACGATAGGACATTCTATCTACCAGTTACCCAGTTACCCTTTTTAATTTTATTTATAAATTTAAACTGTCAGAACGCCTTTTTATTGTTCTATTTGTGCAAATCTTTGACAATCATCAACTAATTCTGTACAGAAATAATACACTACAAGTACAATTTAAATGGGATATAGATTTATACGCATATAAGTACTTAGCTGCAGATCTGTAGCTATCCGAAAAAAATATATATTGATAGACCGGATAGCTACAGTGCCACCCATTGAAAAAAACTGTATATTTATTGCGCACAAAAAGTGCGCTCGGTTCTTAATTATTTCTTCAAAATTCTTACCTCATTTGCAAAAGAAGGAAGATTTAAAAAAAGTTTCTCTTTCCTCTATCAAGTACATTCATAGTTGACATCTGAACGAAGTAAATTGGTCCGAATTATCATGGAAACCAAAATGGCAGTTATACAATCGAAATGTTCGATGTTTACAATATCAGGGTCAGGAGGACTCTTAACAACAATTATGACGAATGTTTTGTTGTGAAAAGAGTCAAAGAATATGTTAGGAACACGCGGTTAGTAATATCTTGAGATTATAGATTTAGAAACATGGAGAAATAAATCGAAAAGCGAGCGCACTTTTTTGTGCGCAATAAATATACAGCTTTTTCGATGGGTGGCACTGTAGCTATCCGGTCTATCAATATATTTTTTCGGATAGCTACAGATCTGCAGCTAATAAGTACTGTGTAATGGGTATCAACCTGAATACTGGTAGAGCACCTGACTAGTGATACTGAGATCCTGGGCTCAATTCCTTGTCCAGCCATACATTTTCTCCTCTCCTTTTATAACTGAATTTAATTTAATAGCTATACAGTAAACTTGGTTATAGCGAAGTCCTGCCAGGGACCTGTGAATTTAATTTGCTATAAGCATGTTTTTCCTCAAATATTACTACCATACTTATGTAACGTTCGGGAAGCAAATATTACAAAACATACCTTCGATAAGCAAGGTTTTATTATGATTTGAATTTTATATACAAATGCTGAAATAAAATAAGTCCAGCAGGTCCATACAGAGCAGTGCTCAAAGTATGGGCCCAGCAGGTACAAACAGGGCAGTGTCCAGAGTATGGACCCAGCAGGTCCATACAGAGCAGTGCCCAAAGTATGGGCCCAGCAGGTACAAACAGGGCAGTGTCCAGAGTATGGACCCAGCAGGTCCATACAGAGCAGTGCCCAAAGTATGGGCCCAGCAGGTACATACATGGCAGTGTCCAGAGTATGGACCCAGCAGGTACATATAGGTCAGTGCACTATGGCCCATGGATGGTGGGAAGTCCCTAGAAGCTTGTTTGGTTTAAAAAATTGAAGTTTATCTAATTGCTAATGGGACTGCAAATTTCGACTTTATGCTCAACACTCAAGGTTTAATCAAGCAGCAAGGGATCTCTTTTGTACCAGCGGTCTACTGCTACAGGGGTTCTCAGTTTACATTTAATTGTCTTATCATAGGGACTGGTCTACATGTGACTCATGGCCCACATTGGGAATTGAATCTGCAATATAAATTAAGGATCAACTCCTTCGTTACGCTGTGACTCAAGAGCAGACTCTCTACCCACTGTGTCATGCAGACAAGTTATTAGTTATATATTGAGAGCAAGAATCAAGTGATTTCACCAAACACATACAAACTTTAGATTAGCTATACTTGTATTTTATACTGACTTTACATGTATCCTCTAAAAGTAAACTTGAATTTAATTAACATGATAAATAGATTGTAAGCTAATTCAAAGTTTATAAGATTGAAATAAGAAAAATTTTCAGCTGAGTAGTCCTGTAGTTGTTCTAACTGAGAAGTGGCAGAATGAGGGCAAATGATAGTGTATAGCAACTTCCAGCAGATGCCCCCCCCCCCCCCCCCCAATGGCCAATCAAAGTTTTACATAGAAATATATATAAGAAAAATCTTTAAAAATCTTCTTCTCAAGAACCACTGTGCAAGGAGAGATGAAACTCAAAGGGAAGCATCTTCAGGTATTGTAGATACAATTTCTTTTCAAATCATGACCCCCGGGGGTAGGGCAGGGTCACAATGAAATATAAAGGA